TGCATGATTTCTATATCGCCTGATTGTATGCAACTTATATATGGCAACACTGTCGCCGAGAATTATTCAAGTTTCACTGTTATCATCTGCTATTACTAGTTGCACTAGTTGTTTGGCCGATCGGGGTTGTTTTTTAAATTCATTTTGGAATAGTGAGATCGTTTTATAACTGATACATAAAAATGAATTTTTCTGACGCTTTACCAGGTTACAGTAATAGTAATGTTGATATTGAGTATTTAGACATTGTTGTTTCACTATTAGAATCGCCATTATCTAGAAGAACTGAAGTTGATAGAAAAAAAATTATTATGAATGAAAGGCCTACTCATTCATTGCGTATTGACCAAAAAGATCGGAAAAATGTGCGTACTAATTGTTCTTGGTATGATGTCTATAAATGGTTGTCTGGAAGTATTACGAAAAACATACTATATTGTTGGCCGTGTTTGTTATTTTCTAATAAGAAATGTATATGGAATTGTGAAGGATACTTTGATTTAAAAAGTATGTCTGCCTCCTTAAAAAAAATCCAGTTGCAAGGAACATTTAAGTAATTTCCTTTACTTTAAGGATGTACAGAAGAGGGCGTTTTCTGTTCGCGATTTGCTAGATGAAAAATGAAAAATCGCAAAAATTAGATACAACGCAGAAGTTAAAATGAACAAAGAAATCATTAAAAAATTAGTTTCTTTAACTTGTACTTTAGCAGAACAGGTGATTCCCTAAATCCTGGGTATTTTAAAGGGGATCTCAAAAACGATATAATACGAACTAATCGATCTAGTGAAACACGAAATTCATATTTTTATCGAGAACGCCATAAATAACTCCACATTTTTGGATGCATTCTTGATGAAATAACCAATATTACTGAAAGGGCACAATGTTCAATAGTATGCAGATTAGCGGACACAAAAGGCGTTGTTCAAGAATATTTCTTAGGTTTTTTTTATCTAGGGGAAGACCGAAGTGCTCCAGCGTTACGTGACTTACTGTTTAGTGTAATTGGTAAATTTGACTGTAAGGCTAAATTAATTGCTCAAACCTACGATGGAGCTAGTGTTATGTCGGGACAACTTAATGCACTTCAAAAATTAGTGAGAGATTCTGCACCATTAGCAATATTTACCCATTGTTTCGCTCACCGCCTCAACTTAGTTTTACAGAAAAGTTGCTCCAACACTACAACAGTCAAAATATTTTTCTCAACGCTTCAAGGTATTCCAGCTTATTTTCACCAATCGTCCAAACGGTACTATTTTTTAAAATAAAATACTTGGAAAACGAATTACCACAAATAGTGAAGTAAGATGGAATTTAAATGCAAAAGTAGTATATGCTATGTCACAAGAAAGAGAAAAATTGTTACAAGTCTTTCAGGACATAACGAATTGCCCAGAATCAAATGCAAAATCAATTAGGCAGGCAGATGGTTTTAAACGTAAGTTGGAGGATTTAGAATTTGTATTTTTATTAAATGTTTTTAGTGATATATTTCAACAAACTGAGCTCTTATAAAACATCTTGCAGAAGAAAAATAATGATGTTCAATAGTGTGCCAATTCGGTGTCCAGAAGTGTTGCAATGTTAAAGAGCTAGAGAAATGACCTTAGATTTTTTAACCATTTTCAATAGAGATAATAAAAGATTCACAGAATATGGCGCTAAATTTACGATGTAATTTGCTGGCTTGGCCTACCAAACATTTTACCACACCAGCCGCCACTGCACCCTATTTATTTTCTTTGTGTATAAGAAAAATTAGAATCGTATGCAAAGCCCAAGCAACTAAAAAAAAGCAAAGACAATAATTAATTTCCTTGACTTACGTCAATTAGATCAAATTTGAATGATCGTGTGACAGCTAGATTTTTAAAATTTGAACAAACTGTAATTATCATTACATCAGTTAATTCAAACTAGTTTGATCAAATATTTGACCGTCTGACACGGACTTAAAGCGTACAACATATGCATTACAAAAATATCCCAACACTGCCAAACCCAAATATTTTTGACATTTGCGGCTATATTCAGCTTGCAGTTTCGGTAAATTCAACCGAATGTTTATATCATTTTAATGCATATCGGCATTAGAGAAAATGCCGGTGAAGTTAGCTACAAATGATGGAAAGTTTTGTATTTGGCAGTGTTGCCATGTCGTTTTAATAAATCACGAAACAGCATGCGATATAATATTACCTAATTAATTTTACTAAACATTATTTTTAAGTTTTTAAAAGAAGTTTAATAATTTAAATTGAATTTATTATAATTTAAATTACCTTTAATTTTTTTAATCTTTGAAATTCTTAAGTTTTTAAGGTATTCAGGTACCATTTTATCCCAAAATTATATGAAAATAGTCATAAAATTGAAATCTGCTAAATATGTGTTGCAATCTGGCAACTAGTGTTTTCAAGGTATTCAGTATTGCCAAGTTTATTTGCTAATCTACCAAATGACATTTATAATTTTTTTTTTCAAACAAATATTCATTGGTTGGTGTTTTATATAAATTTAATAAACGTTAAAAAATACAGGATTCCATAAAATAATATAATAAAAATGTACTGTTTCAAAGCATATTTGATGCATGAATAATAAGGACATGGCAATACCGCAAACGAACATTTGACTGTTCATTTGTAGCTAACTTCACCGGCACTTTGTCTATTGGGACCGTGCAAGTTCGGAATAGCCACACCTGGTGTCGTAAATCAGCAAAATTTACCGCGCTTTCATGTTAGATCGAGGTTACCGGATAACTGTCAAGGACGTAGCCCCAAAAAAGAATAAGAAAAAAAAGTAAGAACGAGGTTATGTCGGTATGTTATTAAAAGGTAAACGTTGTATGTAGTGTAAATACAAATAAATATATTATTAAATTACAGCATTACTGTTAATATGGATGCAATAATAAAACTGGATTTGAGAAAGTAAATCACCAAATAACTTTTCAACAATTTTTTGTTGTATTTTTACAATTTATAACACAGCAATTACTAAATTCCATTTTCCTCAGTGACAGAAGATGTAAATAAACAAACAAATATGAAATATGACAATTTGCCAATTGACAATATGAATTTATGAAATCTATAATATGTGCAGTAAAAAATGCAAGATTTCTCCGCTACTCGCGCACGATCGTTTCTCGTATCATATCCAAGTACTTGCACGTCGCCAATACTTTTGCCTGCACTTCTATTATATATGTATTTTTTAAAATTTATCTGGACGATTTTCACCTTTGGTCCCATTGAAGTTAGCCTCAAATTAGCTGTCAATTAAATTTCATAGAAGGAAATATTGCGTTGGCAGTGTTGCCATGTTCTTATAATGTACATGTTATATGCTTCAACTACAAAGAGATAAAGCTTTTAAAAGGTACATTTTTATCATATTATTTTATGGATTCTACAATTTTATACCTTATATAAAATATTAATGAAGTAATATTTGTTTCATTTGATATTAGTTGTAATAAATTATTAGAAATTTTTTTTGGCAGTTGCCCCTTGATAGGTTAGCTGATAGATTTGGCAATAGAGTCAGAACCCTCAAACCACCAGCTGCCAGATTGCAACAGATGCCTTTAAAATTTTAATATTTATACTGACATTTTACTATTTACTGTTAAAAAATGTTTTAAAACTATTTACTTTTTCTTTTTTTCATAATCGTTAAATATTAGTTTTTAAATTCTTATTGTTTTTAATTGTGTATATTTCATTTGTAATGTAAATTTCAACACTGTGAAAAACCAATATTTCATTCTGTCAAACCCATTTGAAGCTATCTTCAATGGGACCAAATGTGAAAATCGTCCATTTATCTTTATGTAATGTGAGAGTATGAAATAACTGAGTATGATGATAAGTTTGGTTATGTTGGGTCTGGGTGCTCTAAACAAATTTTGTCCCACAATTCCGCAAAAGTATAGAGAAAGTGCCGATGAAGCTAACTACAAAGGATCTGTCAAATTTGTGTTTGCGGTATTGCCATGTCCTTATTATATATATATATATATATATATATAATATATATATATATATATATATTATATATATATATATATATATATATATATATATATATTATATATATATATGTTTTATGCTTCAAATATGCTTTGAAACAGTTCATTTTTGTTATATTATTTTAAGAAATCGGGTTTTTTAAATTTATATTAAACACGAACGAATGAATATTTGTTTCTTTTGATATTAGTTGCAGTTAGTTATTAGAAAAAAAATTTTATAATTTTGCTTTGGTAGATTAGCAAATAAACTTGGCAATATTGTCAAAACTTTGAAAACACTAGTTGCCAGATTGCAACAGCAGATTTCAATTTTATGCCTATTTTCTTATAATTTTGGGATGAAATAGTACCTGAATACCTTAAAAACTTGACAATTTAAAAGCTGAAATGTTTAAAGTTAATTTAAATTATAATAAATTAAATTTAAATTAATTAAACTTCTCTTAAAAACTTAAAAATAATGTTTAGTAAGTGAGAGCGCCCACCAAAGTGGCGTGGCAGTGGCAAGTAGCAAGTAGCACGCGTCTAGCATAATGTAACCAATGAAAACGAATGATTCAGTTTATACCAAAATGACAGTAACGACATTCATTCTAATCATTCGTTAGGATTGGTTACATTATGCTAGACGCGTGCTACTTGCTACTTGCCACTGCCACGCCACTTTGGTGGGCGCTCTCCCTAACATTAATAATATATAGCTTGTTCTTTCATGATTTATTTGTGATATGGCAACACTACCAAATACAAATCTGTGGCTAATTTGTAACTAACTTCATCGGCACTTCCTCTATACTTTTGCCCATAATTCATAGTGAATAAATAGAAAATACATAAACATGAACGTTGAGTGCCCAATATAGTGCACTCATGAATGTAGCTGAAGCAGTTTCAAGTTCATCACAGAATTCCAATCCCTAAATTTACTAGTACACGTGAGTGGTCTATTTACCTCTTGAATTTATTGGTCTTTCTTTAACTGACGTAAGTTTATGTTCCTCTTCAGTCTTTAAGGCTCCATAATCAAATGTATCACATGAAGTTTGTTTTAGAGGTTCCTGCTTAATTTCAATTTTACAAATATCTAAAAGACCATTATCAATAGCATTACAATGTATTTCTGCTTGACACGTCTCATCACTAACTTCTTGTTTTACTTCCATTTGTATAAACTTTGGTTTTGTTCTGTTCATAAATATTTTACACAAAAAATAAATAAAACCAAGCTGTCACCGTCACCTATCAAAATCAAAACCATATAGCACACAGGAGCGAATAATTACAGGGACCCGATCCGTCAACTGCGCATGTGCAATCTTTGAAATGACATCAAAAGTGACAACGAGTGACAATCTCCAACTTAAAAAAATCTGAGCAAGTTTATAAAAACGATTAGGAATAAAAATAGGAAATTTTACAAGATTTCTACAGGTACACAATTGTTATTGTCTATTCGCTTAGCTAGGGCATATTTTGACAGACTCATTGTCGGAAACCTACAACACAACAATTCCTACTTCTCAGTATTAATAGCTCAAGTATACTACTATTGCAGACTTCTTTCTTTGAAAAAAGAAGAATTATTCTAATTAGTGGAGGTGTATACTAAACCCATCAAATTTTCCCTGTATAAATATAATATTTGAATTGTTACAATTTAAAATATTGTAGTAAATATAATATAATATAATTGTAGTATATAATATATTGTAGTAAATATAATATAATATATTGTAGTAAATATATTATATTTGTATTATTCGCGTTGTTTATTTAATTTAATATAGTTTTATTATCTTTGTTTAATTCTTTTGTTAGTTCTATTCAGTTAATTAGTTAGTTATATTTTAAATTTTATTATTATGGATAGTCAAAGTTTTCCATTTGTTCCATCAGCTAATGCGTTGGTAAGTTTTTCTTAATAAATATGATAAAATGTTTTTTAAAAGTTAATATTTTTAGATTAGTTGTTTCTAATTTAATATAAACTTGTTTATACTTACATGGAGGTTTTTGTTGTTTGTTTGGGTTTATATGACTGCAGACTGCGGACAGGACACTGAATTCATTCACCATATGTGGAAGATTTTAACATCCTCAAATGCTAATGAGCAAAAATTACTATTGAACCACGAATTTGCCTAGTCAAATTACTAATATTTGCTTTTAGCATATGGAAGTACACTTATTTTGTAAGATAATAAAACAACAGTTTATGTTAATGCTATCCAATGAACTGTTACTTTAAGGCAGGAATCACACTGCTCGACCAGACCGACCGTCCACGATCGACCAAAATTACAAGTCTATGAAAATGTATGCGTTGACTCAGACTGGTGGACCGTCCATCACTTACAGCGACCGACCGCGATCGTCCAGTTTTGAAATTCGGACTTGTTGGAATTTTTGGTCGTTTGGTCGATGAATATGGAACATTTCGCATTCATTTGTGCTGTTTTGAGCTAAGACATTGACCATTGACATTTAAAAATTTGTAATTAACCTATAAAATTGGATTTGTTTTTGTTTTTTTGGATTATGTAGTTTGTATATCCAATACAAAAATTAAGGTTCTATTAATTTTTTGGAAATGCTAAGGAATACTCTGGAATACTAAGTTTTTGGAAACAGGACTTGTTCATGCGATAATAATTTTGAAATTTTATAAAATCATTTAATAGAATGGGGTATAACACAAATAATTCTCCTTGTTGGTGTCTTTTTAAAAAATGTCTTAAAAAAACAAACTGTCCTACGCCTATAAAGATATCAAATAAGTGATAAATAATTTATCAGTAGAATTATTGCTGCTAATTCTATCCATAATTCAATTTTTTACAAAGAACCCAATAAAATGAAATAACAAAAATGTGGTTATGTTGCTACACACTCCTGACGTCTTGATGGTCGGTCGATCGATCGTGGACGAGTAATGTGAGTTTAAAAATAAAAATACAAAAGTTGGTTGTTCGCCGTCGGACGGTCGGTCGTGGTCGATCGAGCAATCTGATTCCTGCCTAATCATTACGCCTGTGTGAATGAGTTTATGTTGCTTAAAATTTTTGGGATCTGAGAAGCACTTCTGACATACATTGCATTTTAGTGGTTTTTCACCTAATTTCATTAGTTCAATTAATTTCATTCATTCACCTGATTCCATCCTAGTCACAACATAAGGAACTTGCTATGTCTTATTTAACCTCACTTTGACTTTTTAATTTTGTAGAATTTATTCCCACTTTTTTTATTTTGTACAATAAATAATCTTATTATTTGCTATCAATACAATATACGGTGTAAATAAATAAATATTGATTGTCGGCAAAGTTCTATTTTATTTACTTTTGTTTATATTAATATTGACTAAGAGCACGTATGCTTGGTTGTATAGTAATTTCCAGCCACTTCGAGTCTGTCAAAAAGTAACTAACTTCGCAAAAAAATAATTACTAAAATCACTAGACAGTTCGGACTGGGAATAGCGAACCCATCGAGCAATAAGACAAAAGAGGGAATGTAAAGGTAGAAGGGGTAAACATATTGATAGACAGGAAGTGCCATCTTGAGAGGCCACTTTAGACAAGGATAGAGAGTCTCTCTCCTTGTTTGACATCAAATTTAGTTGGGTTATGTTATTGTTTGTCCCAAATGTCACATGAAATCTTATTTATATTGAAGTTTTTTAACAATTGTGTCGCATTTTAGACTCTTATCATTAATAATTAATTAAAACTTTCTCGTCTAAGACACATTTTGAAAAATATTATATAGCTACTGTTGATAAGTGTCGAAAAATTTAAATTTGGCGCCTTTGCATTTCCGGATGTGTCCGCCATCAGAGGCCACTTTTTTGGTCTCCTTTTTATAACGATTAGATTCCCTCTTTTGTCTTATTGCTCGATGAGCGAACCGGGTATACATTCATAACTAAAATAACGTACCTAATCACAGCCACCTTTACTTCCAAGCCATGAAGTAGAAATATGGCAACAACGCGTGGTAGTCCGACTGTGGTTTGTTTTGGTTTAACATTTCATATAGGAAGGCTTGTAAAGTTTGTTGAATTTATTGTTTTTTTAACTTTATTCGAATGTTTTATTTGTAAATTGTGTTTACATCAATTAGAAAATATTAATATAAGTGAAATTTCAATAAATTTAGAACTTTTAGAAGATTCTTAACAACAATTTAAAAGGCAAGTATAAATATAACCTACAAAACAAACTGAAAATAATAATACTTTTGCTTGTTGTTACAAAATATGTAAACTAAAAACAACAATAATAATACTTTTGTTTTTTGTTACAGATGCTCTGGCATTGTTGTGTACCTGGTTGCAAAACCAATTATGCCAGTACTTTAAAAACGAAACAGGCAGAAAGTACGTTTTTGTTTCCCAAAGATCCCCAAAGAAGGTATACTGGGTTATGCTCTATTCATAGAGAAGGCTGTACAATTACCAAATCTTCCGTAGTATGTGCCAAACATTTTCATGAAGATGATATTCAGCGGAGCGGACTGAACAATGAACAATGAGAAGATAAAGATGGAAATGTACACATTGAAAAGTTAATATTTCCCAAATTAAAAGGCAATGCAGTTCCTAATATATTTCCTGAAGTACCATCATATGTAACTGTTCATCGTACTAAAGAAAGACGGAATCCCGAAGACAGAAGAAACTTTTTGCATAAGAAGAGGGAACAAGAGATAACATAATTATGTCAATTAGACTTAGACAATAATATCCCATTGAAAAACTGGACAAGTAAAATTACAAGTGACTGTGTATATTTCTATGTATTAAACATTAATCAGTTGGGACACAAGTGTGATAATATTTGTGTAATATGTAGTGTAATAGTTAGCAGTAATTTTAGTGTAATCGTCAATGTAGGTAAGAATAGATTAAGTGGTAATGATTTGAAATGGATTTTACAATACAGTAAATTAACAACATGGTCACAATTAGAGAACTTACTTTCTCATTTAGATCTGCTTTCTAGATAAGTGATAACAAATTTGAGTATTACATTCAAAAATCTTTTGAGCATATAGGCTATTTTAAATCAATATACAAGTTATAAATGGTATGTTACATTCAACACGTTTTTCATGTATACCTCTTTTAACTTGGTCTATATGACAACAAACCTATTCATATTTAAAATTGCAACTTTTGTATATCTAAGTATGAAAATTCAACAAAAGTAAATAGTAAAATATTTAATTTTCAATTAGATTAATTTAGAACCATATTTATATTGTGTCTGATTCCTTAGGATGAATTTTTTAATCATAATAGTTACACTAAGTTTTTGTGTTTTAAAATTTCTAGAGATTCTTGACTGTATTTGATTGTAAGATTAACCTGTTTGACACTGTATTTTAAGTGCAATAAATTTTACTCTAGTGATTATTTCATTGATAATATAACCTAAATAATAATAAAACTTTATATATATTTACTAGGTATATATAAGGTTTTATTAATTTAATTTCCCTAAAAATATTTCTGTAATGAATTGAAGTTTTCAAAATATCAGTTTCCTAAAATTCAAATTAGTTTAATATTCTGGTAGACCTTACAGCTGATTATCGGACTACCGACGTCACAGAATGCGGTGTTGCCTTTTTTACTTCATGGCTTGGAAGTAAAGGTGGCTGTGACCTAATACATGTTTATGAGTGAAGATAAGGATTATAATAAATTATTATATAAGTATTATTATAAACTTAAATTTATTTATTGTTGTTGAAAGTAAACAAAGTATTAATGAACTAAATTTAAATGACATATTATGGTTAATGGGTTAATCTTGTATGGGTTGGCAAAATCGTTGTCTTCAGGTGGATGTTTTCAAAAGTTGTCTCGTTCTAAAACGTGTTTAAAATAGTTTAATTCTTCAACACTCTTCCATAAAAAACTGAAGGAATGGCGGACATAAAACAAAGTGTTTGTATTTTTCCAACAACTTTCATAATTTCTGTAAAATAAACTTCATTAATGTAGAAGTCCTTTCGGCTTGAAAAAAGCTACTGGAAATCTTCCAGACACTTATTTAAATGCACATTTTCTCCACATTGCATCGGCGTAGAAAGCTTAGACTGATTTGAGAAAATTTTACCACATTCAAAACAGTTCACTGATATATTTACTAATTACGTAAATAGGGAACTATTCAAAACAATTTTTATTTGACAATGCAAGATACCACCTAAAATTTTC